GGGGGGGCAAGTGGTCTACTGGCCCAGTGCTGAGCATAACAACATTTTTGCAATGATGGAATGACATTACACGTATATTAGCCCCGCATTGTCTACAGATTTACGTCTTATTGAACCCTAATTTAGCCAAACCGACAGGGGTGCTCTTAGAAGCCGAGACTGGTTCTTGTATGTATCAATAATGTTAAGAACGTAGCCTAGTCTTTAGGACTTGCAAAACTGTTTCATACTAGGGAATGCACTTGCCAGGCACATCGTAAACATCAACAAAAGCTCTGTCTTGGCCAAAACTGGTGAAAAGAAGAGTTTTTGACGACTGACTAGATTTGTCGCGCTTAGTCAGACTTGCAGTGCATGGTTGTACAGGAATCTCGATACACTTACAAGAAAGCCGTTTTCGCAGGAAACTGTCGCGCTCTTTAGCGGCTGAAAATTGTCTTCACGACTTGTATGAGGGTGTTGCCTTTCTGCTGTTTGCGCGAGCGAAATGTACGCCCAAGTCTTGCAATGCTGTATATGATTGAGAAAACGCTCGTTGCACGAACACGTGCTTTTTCTGTAGCAGCAAGATAGAATATTATTGTGTGATTGTGTAGTGTCGCGCAGTGCACGATTATACATTGACATTGTTTCTAGAAGGAGAGTAGTATTGAATAAAAGTATTATGATAAGGTAAACATCCATTCTCCAAAGCCGAAGAAACAAAGCATCAAGGATTAATCTGACGCTTTCCTTTGCAAACTTTTCCAGTTTCAAACCCACACACACCCTCCTTACACGCGGAAAAATCTGGTTCCGCCCACGAATAGTTAACTGAAAATTTATGAGGGAATTATCCGTGTCATGGCGCTGGAAGGAAAAGAGATGATATAGGAGGGATGCGAGGGAGGGGAGGGATGGTGCCATCCCTCCCCTCGCGATTCCCAGGAGTCGCGAGGTGATAATTATCTGGCAAATTGAAAAAACATTTTGATGACGAAAAAAATATCGATAATTTAGAGCCTTCTTCTCAGTTAGGAGTGGCTGTTACTGTACTGAATTTCGCCGCAGCATCAAGACAAGGCTTACACGCTCTATCCGTTTTGACGTTCCCGTTCTGTGTGGCGTGGTATTTTCATATTCAACAATCAAGATGCAACTTTACTAACTCAAAGCGTTTGCAGGGTCCCTTCAATGTACTTGTTAACTTCAATTCTTCATCCCCTAATCACAGGGAATCATAGGGATACCTGCTGAAAGTCTCGCAGCCTCGCAATTCTATCCCCCATAGCGATCACAGCCCTCTCTACTCCATTCTCCTCTGTCCACCTTCCGCCCTCACTCTCCAAGAACCTCTTCAAAGACAGCAAAGCGATCCTTCTCTCGCGTCTTTCATTCCCGACGATCCTCGCGATAGCATACTTGCCAAATCCTTTCCTCATCTTGTCATGAAGCCTCGCAACCTCGCTCTCCTCAGCTTCAGCCCGGCGGAGCAACGCAAACCCGCACGGCTCCTTGCGTGCAAGCATATACAAGGCATGTAGCTGGGCACTATCCAAGCCATGCAACATGTCCTCCCAACCCTCATCCGGCGGCAGTTGGAGATGTAGCATGACGAATTGATGCAAGTGAGCTTTCGCCCCATTCTGCTCGATAAATGCGATGCGATCGAGCGGACCGAGCTCCTCGGACCGCGACATCTGCGGCACGACGGGCTCCCTCGCCGTCATCAGTGACGGATAGAACGGCAGCTTGTCCTCGACATATCCCCGTACTTCAGTCATGGGCATGTTCTTGTGGCCCTGCAGCTGGGAGGAGTACTTGAGTTGCGCCGCGTGATTGTACGAAGGCGCCGGCGGCCACATGGGCTCGCTTAACTGCTTTTGTTGGGTGTCCTGCTCGTGAGCGGCAACAAGGTGCTCGGTGGGAAGGGCGGCATGCTCCCATGAGAGGCTGCCCTGGCTGTCCTGGCTCGCTCGACTGCAGCAGTGCGCATGGGCATGTGGGCAGTGGAAGGGCGGTGCCTTCTTGGCTTGCCTTTCAGGCTTGATCTTAGGCGTGGGCTGCAAGTTCCTCGGCTGCTCCTGCAGCGGTCGCAAAGCGGCGTGCTTCCTCGGGGCGGAGCCGGCGTAGGCGACAGCGGCGTTCTCCTTGTCGGGGTCGGAGCGGTAGTGGTGGGCGTGGTGGGCGTGGTGATGGTGGTGATGGTGGCGGCGGTGGCGGTGGTGCTTGGCGCGATGGTGGCGGTGATTGCGGTGGTGCGCGCTGGAGGTGGACTGGGCGGCGGAGCGGCCGGAGGCGCGGCTCGAGCGGCGGGCGGCCCGCTTCTCCGTGGGGGCAGTCGTGGGCTCGGATGGCGCGGACGAGGAGAAGAGGTTGGTCGGGCGCGCGCGCCCAGACGTGTTGGAGAGGCGGCGAGAGCGGCGGAAGGCCGGCGGCGACTGGAAGGCTAGGTAGTCGCTGAAGGAGACGGAGCGCGTCATCGAGGGGTTGCTGGAGACCGCGCGGGCGGACATTGTGGTGGGGCGGGGAAGGGTGGAGGTGGGGATGGGTGGTGACGGATCTGTCTGTTGGGGGGCGTGGGTGGCAGGCAATCTGTTGCCCAGAGCCCCCCGTATTTAAATACAAGCGATGAAGACGGCATTGGAGGGTTGTTGGTGAACGGAATGAAGGTTTACACGCAGGAAAGGAGTTTGAAACGGTCGGAAATCGCGTCGATGGTCGGTGAACGGATCAAGTTCAAACGTTTTAGAGCGGTGACATGTTGCGAGGGATGACAGTCCGACTCGCATAAAAAGTTAATGAAAATAAGCATCCGAGCCGAAGGCCCACTTTTGAATTTCTTCGTACCTTCGCTGCACTTCTCGTGCGTCCTGTACGTGTCGCCAGTTACCGTCGCCGTTGGACACGGGCGTGCCACTCCCCTCCCTTCATCCCCCTCCCTTCATCCCCCTCCCTTCATCCCCCGCTCCTCCCCTCTTCCCCTTCTTTTCTACCACCCCCGTCCTGAACTTCCTGGCCTCCCACATCCCCTCCACTGACATCTACTATAACAACTACCTCCCGCCCGCCACAACCGACAAGCCCGGCGTCCTGAATCTCCACAAGAAGCGAAAATCCTTCGCCCCGAACGATGACGACGACGACGACGACGACGACGACGATGACGACGACGACGACGACGACGACGACAGCGACGACGACGACCTCCCCCTCGAGTTCGACGACGGCGACGTCGTCGAGCAGGCCCGCATGCTCAAGCACTACGAGGACGTGAAGAGCGGCGCCGGCGCGTCGTCGGCCGCCGGCGCGTCGTCGTCGGCCGCCGGCGCGTCGTCGCCGCGCACGCGTCCATCTTCGTCGGGCGCGGGGCCATCATCAGCGGGTGCGGGTCCAGCACGCGCGCTTCCATCCGAGGCGCGTCCATCTAATGCGCGTCTATCGCAAAATGTCCCGCCTTCGATACCCCCCGATCCGTCGTGCCCTGCTGTCACCCACTCTGCCACGGACGGGGTCGCGCTTGCACCTCCTCCCACTAAACCGATCCCACCCCATCCGCCCGCGCCGCCCGACACCCGCATTCCATCTGCTGCACCCCCTGCGGGACCGCCGCCCGCCGCCCAACCGCAACCCGTGGCCGCCACGCTGGCACCCCCGTCAGACCCTGATCAAGCCCGCCCAACGAAAATCCAAAAGCTCGACGCCGACGCTAAGCCGCCACCCCAACAGTCGGCCGAGAAGAAGGTGGGTTGACCAACCGTTGCCGTTTCAGCATCCAAGTTATCGCATTCCTCATCCGTATGTCTTGAGAATTGCTCACATGTCTCTTTTCTTCCGCCTCACCTTTGCTTATTCTGTAGAAGAAACCCGCGTCCTCGATCGATGATATATGGGCCGAAATGAACGCGTCATCGAGAAGACTTCCGCAGAAACCGAAGGAACCGGCCACGGACCCCTCGCTCATGGGTTGGCTTTCGCAGCCCCAGAAGCCTGCTTCGTCGCAGCTGTTCAAGGTGAAGCTTCTTGGCGAGTTAGAGGAAGAGGCCAAAACGCGCGAGGCGAAGGAGGCCGCGGACGAGGTGGCCAGTAAGGCGGGCCCGTCGCGAGCGACTGGCCTTGAAGCTGCGCTCAATATCGTCAGAGGCCCGCGCAAGGAAACTGTGCTGACTAAGACCAAGGACGTCTGGAGCGAGTTTAAGGGGAAGGACGACAAGGTCGTGGACGAGCTGGAAAAGTACAAGAAGGATAAAAATCGGTATACTGACAAGGTTGCCTTCCTGAAGCGCAGTGACGTGAGAGAGTGGGAGTACGAGCAACAAGGCAAGCGGAAACGTAGATAGATAGCCGATGGAGGCCGGTGGTGCAAGTGCAGCAGCTACCGGGCCATATATTTGTAGGGGAGAGAGGCTCCCCATTACTTTTTGCTGCAGCGCACTTGAGGTATTTGATCTTTATGTAAAATGGCGAGAACTGCACAAGCTTTGGTACAAACAAAAAAACACAGACAAGATCCACAACAGGCAAGACCGGCAGCTTCTTCCTTGCGTGGCCCCCCCCCCCCCTCATTGCAACCCCCTACTTCTCAGCGCATCAAACGCCGGCTGTAATGGCGATGCCTTGATGGCTCCGTAAGGTCCGTCCTGCGACAACTGGAGAGCCTTTTTGCTGCTCAGATTCAGCAACTCGTAGAACGAACGCGCCGCTGTCCGTCGCGACATGCTCGGCTCTGCCGCGAGTTTCCCCGAGTAGTGGAGCACTTCGTCGTCGTCCATGTGCCCTACAATATACTCTTGCATCTTCTGCGTCCTCGCCGATATGGTGT